AAGAATGATGCTCTCCTTGATCAACGGGCACGTGCGCCTCTCGTAGATCTCGTTCACCCCCGCCACAACTCAGTGCCGGTCTCCAAGTGGTCGACCTGCTGCAGGCGGTGTGACGGTATCACCGACGCGATCATACGCTGGATCTTGCACTGCTGGCGATCAAAAGCTATCTTTTCTTCCGCAGTGCCGAGTTGGTCTCTCTTAAGCCTGCCCTCCGCGATGTCGAGGATCCCATACTCCTTGGTAAAAGAGAGACTGATCTATTAGAATAAAGGCATTCTCCCTGCACCTATCTCCTAGAATATGCACCTACCGAGACCCCCTTGAGGCCCAGAGAAACCTCCGCAACTCCTTAGGCCATTTCAACCGCCAACGGCCATTTTGACTGCCAACGGCCATCCGGATAATCGTATCCGGATCCGTTTTCCAACACTTACTATTCTTTGCTTCAATATAGCTGTAAACACTGATTGCCTCCACTTTCTTACAAAACCAGGTTTGTTGTCGAATCCTTGACATTCGTTGTTGCGACTAGAATGACGTCGGCTGGGATAAAATGTGATGAGGAGAACTCTCAGCTCGCGATCTGCTGCAGCAATAAGCATCGTCATGCGGTAGTTACTCTATGTGGACCCTTAAAACTGGAGGTTCGGTAGATTGAGTGTATTCCAACCAAGACTGGTCTACAATTATGTCAGTTATACTTGTTTGTTGCCGTGGAAGGTGTGAGCTTTTTTCTCTGCATCATCCCTAATACGTCAATGAGCTGTCTAATAGCCGTTGCCTACCTGCAATCGTACTTTGAATGCGATACAATAGGGCCTGCGCTGAGCTAAGAAGTTTTTGTCGATAATAAACGCTTTGCATTGACGCAAAAAGATTAATTTATTTGCCTATTTAAAGAAAATACCCTGATGTGCATCCGGGATTCATCTGTATCTGTTGAGTTAGTCAATGTCAGCTCGGTAGGCCTAATACCTGGAGAAGCGAAAGGTCTGATTACTTGCCATAAAGTACATAAAGCGGATGTGTAGTATCTCGTGCAGTGTTTGGCACCTGTTGGCCGTCAACAGAATCATCCCACCATCATACGGTATGCCATTTCGAACATAGTGCTATTTAGAATCATTACCTTTCCGTTTTGCAGATGTTTCTTAAGTGTTATTTGATATCTTTGTGACCACAATACTCAGATCGCCACCCTAGCTTTGCTCGGTGAATAGCCCCATACAACGTATTTAATGAGGATAACGGACTCAACTTTAGTACAACAGTTAATGTAGGATTAAAGCTTCCATACCATTGATGTTGCGCTCCATGCCTTTGAGGGTCAGGACGGAGAAAGCTCTCTCTTTGAATGAGGAAAGCTGAGATGGACATAAATCCGGTCATTCTCCAAATGCAGCCGCAGTGCGGCGCGCTTTTGATATTCGCGCTAGAATGTCGCTTACGAAATTGAGGATGACGCTGTTGTGGTAGTGTTTTGGAGGCAATTAATTTTATGACGCGATCCTTTATTGCATTTACGATTAATGTGATCAAATTCATTCAGGGACCAGTGGCGCAGCAAGAAGGGGGACGTTCATCAACGAAGGTCGTACAGTATATCTATCTTGTTCACCCAAGATAGTTAACGCTTTTTACTAAAATCAGCACACAGCCTTATGTCCTTTAAGCCAGTTTTGATCGTACCTTCTTGAGATGTGAAAGGAGATTAATATTTTTTACCACCTGACCTCAAAACGCGACGCCTTCATACCGTAGGTGCATAACAAATGAAGCAGTTTCTGTTGGAAACAGGTTAAGTCGTACCTAAGTAAACCAGGAGGAGTTATAAAACTCCCAACGATTGCATAATTAGCTAGCTATAAGCATAATACATTTACTTGGAAACTTACCTTCAATCCACCAGGTCCTTCCTTCCTTTCTGACATTTGCAGCACTTTTGCGCAGGGGTAGCGTA